TTCTCCCACTGCCTCCTGAATTCCAGCAAATATCAAGTTTTTTCGCTTGGTTTGTGCTTCCAAGTATTCCACTTTATCCGAAATGACTTTGAGGTAATCACAGGCTTCATAAAGTCCGTCTCTAGTACCTTTAATTTGGGGTGACTGCTCACCCATGGTGACTTTAATCTCATCCACCTCTCGCTGGGTAAACTGCAGACTCGATTTTATTTCCTGTATCTCTCTGGTCATTTCGTCGAATCTCTTGTTGCTAGTCTCCATAATTATTTGCACGAATCCTTTGAAACTTTCACTCAGCTGATTAAGCAGCGCTGTGTACATTCGTTGCTGCTCCAGCAAGTCCGCTGTAAAGTTGTCTTCAGCTTCGACCTCCTCAGCAGCTTCGGATTTATTTGCTCTCTTCCCTTTAGGAGCCATTTCAAAGATGTAGACTTTTCCAAAACTTGAAAGTGTAGAAGATATGAGACAGATATGAAAATCCCAGAACAGACAAGAGGAGCAGAAAAAACGTCCGCTCTCGCTTGCAACCCGGAAAATTATTGATTATTAAAATCTTACATGACACAAAATGCAATCTTAATGAAAGTTTTATGACGTGGGCCATTTTTGCTGCACAGTCCCAAATAAATTGTATATATTCGTCAGTCAGGGATTTCTTTTGACTCAATCAGATAGCTACAGGTACATTAAACAAAATGCCAGCACTCACAATTGCAGCTTCTGCTCTCACTCTGTTTGTTCATAAATCAAACACAATTCTGCAAACCAGGATTTTTCTCATGATACAGGGTAAATTAGATTAGTCTAAACATGTAAACCACCGAAAACAATGCTTATTCATTATTTTTATTCAGTGGAAAGGGTTGTAGCTAGGGCTTCAACTAACAATTTTCATTTTTAATTACTCTTATTGATGAATCTTTTTTCTCTAATAATTGATTAATTTGATTTATCTATAAAATTGTGTAAAATGCTTGATTAATAATACACAGACCCCACCACAAATGTATTGTTTTGTCTGAACAAGTCCAAAATCCAAAGATAATCAATTTTGCTATCACGTCACATAGAAAGCCGTCAGAGCTCAGATTATCAAAACAGTTGTCAAATTTCTGTCAGATGATTAATCAGGTAATTCGTTGCATCTCTACTCATAGCCTGGAGGAAAAAAAAAAAGAACCCAATCTGCTGTCAGCAGACTTAAGTCCTCTGTTTACTTTAAGAGAATGAGACTGTTATTTGCAGGATCAGAGTGAATAATAGCCACAGTTTAACAGTAACGTCTTGTTGATAATAAAATCAGTAATGCAGAGAAGCATCTGCAGTGAATAAAAAAAGAAGGCAACGTGAATTTGTATGGGCATCATGTAATATGTCAGTAAGGAAAGTAATACTGTTGACCTTTATAGTCACTTCCGTGGTAAAGAAATTCAGCTTAATTCTAGCTGGTGACTTTTGGTCCAGCCAACTATGTGCATCAAATTCTGTTACTGTGATTAATTGAATAATTAATCATCAAATTTCTTTGATTGTCATTTACATTCATGCATTCAGCGCATGTCCTCTTCACTTGACTAGAGGTTTATAAACACATTTAGTCTGTTTGTTCTATTTGTGTTCATAAATCATGCTTATGTAGAGTGTGAAGTGCATGTGTGTGGTTAATAGTTAAATGGATATTCCTCTTACAAGAGATGATGTATTACAGTGTTTGTGGTCAACTTTATAATTCTGTGTGTGTATGAGATGCACTGCAGGATTTTATACACAACAAATGGGAGGCATGTGTTGATGGTGTGTAAGAGGACACATGAATTAATTTTAGGAATGTTATGCATCTATGATATGTTGTCTGTAGGGGCGTAACAGTGCTGAAACCAACACTGAAACTGCCTGCGAAACAGCCAATGCTTCAGACAGCTGTATAGGCAATAGAGAGGACACTTGTTAGTCTGTCCACTCTGTTTTGTGATCATTTTGAGACTTGAGCTACTTTGTTGTTGTAGTTGTGGACTGTCATCTGAAAAGCTGTTCCTGACACAGTATTTAGCTCACAAAATGCATCAGTAAAATCATTATAGAGTGTAATGAACTGGGTAAATTACTGTTAGACTATATCATTCAAATTTAACATATTTAGACATAACATATGTGAAGGTATTTCATGCCTCATCATAACTGATTTGTAGAAGAATGCATGCAGTGGATTCCACAGCCATGTTTTTGGTTGCTGGTGGGATTTAATGAGGGCTTTACTGCCGCTGTTACTCACTGGCAGATGATGGACATGCAGTGCCAGCAGAATTACAGGGTGTTAGGTTGCTCACCACATTTTCTTTATTGATCCAGCGTGGGGAGCCTTGAGTTACTTTCTTGATAATTTTAAAGAAACATTTTGTCCATCATGTGTCAGTGAATTCTGTAATTGGATAAACGTATTTGCTGTGTTTTGTAGTTTTTCCAGCCATGTGTTTCTAGCTGGCAACTGTTTAAATAGCATCTCCACAAAACCACCTCAGCATCTCCCCAGGTCTTGAAGAAACCTGTGGTTTTTCTTGGATTCTGATGTTGTAGTGCTGTAGCTAACTCTGCATGATCCACCACAACCCTATAGTCAGACTGATGGCAGGAAAAGAGGCAGCAGTCCCTGAGTTTTTCTAGTAATCCTCTTTTGGGGCATATTTTAGTTTCTACTGAAAGAGGTTCATAATTCTGTCCATGTCAGAATGTGAAACCTTTATGTAGACCAGTCTACACCTTTTTGGTCACCTGTTGGGAGTGGAAATAAGTTGTGAATACAACACTGACATATCAAGCTTTTCAGGTTGTGGTAAACCTTTGTTTATTTACACATCCAGCACTTTACTGTATGTTTCTATCCACCTGACAAGTGTAACTGCATATTGTTTTCACATTGTTATTTGATACATGGTTTCTGATTTTTTAAAAATATTATAGCTGCATCAAAATGTGGCATACAGTTTCTTCTTGAACAGATGTAGTCCTTGCTTTGAGCAGAGACAGTTTTCCTGACAGAGTTGCTAGAGCTAAACCACTCCAAAGGTGTGGCATGTAAAGGAAGATCCCTGGAGACAGACTGACGTCAATGGAACACAATCAGCGGCAGGTTTACAGGAAGCATAGAGGTAGATTTAAGTACAGTCTAATAGATGCAGCAATAAGGGCAAAGTGCAGGTTTGTTTTTCAGATAAACTATGTTTAGTGTTTCTCATATGCTGATGTGCTGATGGACACCAGCTGGCTTGCGTTCAGTTAGTAAAGTTTTTCTTAGTTTTTATTTTTCCTTTCATTCCGAAGTCTTAAGGTCTTTTCACATAAAGAGTGATATTGATTTTTTCGGAGGCAGTTTAAATGCACCAGCTATATTCACAACAAATGTGACGTGAATGTGAAATGTGAAATTCTAAAAGGTCATGCCGCCAAAGTCTATATCAAGTGATGATGACCTGAAAGTGCTGGTTCTGTTAAATACAAGGAGTGCATCCTATATATTGATAAAAGTGCAACTGTACCATGGTCATTTTTAGACGGACTTCAGGATGTCTGTGGGACAATTTGAAGAGTTGCTGCTGCCACAGCACTTGAAAAGACAGAGGAGCAATTACAATGACCCAATCGACCCAGAATAGCACCTGGCCGTATGTCTGAGCTAAAATATATATTGAACATGGCTGTAATAAATAGGTTTAGCTGGCCGGTGCACCATGCACCTTTTGTAAATATGCTGCAGTGTTCCACCAAGCTGATTGGCTACACGTGTTCCTGTTGCTGGTGAAAAGTTGAAAAAAATGACCTTAGGGCAAAAAAATAAATGCTGCTTTTCACTCAGCAATATTTCATTTTTGATTTGCAAGGGTTCATAGAATATTGGTTCCAAGATTATTACTGAAAAAAAAAAACACGAAAAATTTGCCTCCATTATGAAGTGACAAAGGTCAGGCTTCTTATTCTAACCTCTCTGTTTTTGTGTCTCCTGTTTGTGATAGCAGTCAGCAATAGGAAGGCTCCTCCTCCTGTCCCACCCCGCACCCCCTCCAAGCCCCTCATCTCAGTGACGCTGCAGAGTAGCACCGAGTCAGCCCAAGACACATACCTTGACCAACAGGACCACGGCAGTGAGGCCAACAGCAGCAACTCCTCTGACAGTCTGTGTAGCATACGCACGGGCAGCCTGGCTAAAGGGACCCAGCCTCCACTTGCTGCTGTTCTTGCTGTGAACCCTGCACCCACTGGAGGCTCTGCACCTCCTGTTCCAGCCCCTCGTGACTTCCCTCCTACCATCACTGTCACTACTGTTACCACTTCCACAGCTACCCAGCTCCAAAATGACAACCTTAGCATTGGTGTCACCTTAGAGCCACCCCCAACTGCACCCAAGAGGAAACTGTCTTCCATCGGAATTCAGGTAAGTTTGTCTACTTTTACAGTGGGATATATTCATACTGGGAGAAGCTAAAGCCACCTTCAGAGGTGTGTTTGACTGATTTTCTGTTGCTTGTGATTATTCAGGTAGATTGCTTTCCACCACTCTCAAGAGACGAACCCCTACCCTTGGCTACACCCCTAAAATTTCAGTCCATCGGAGTTCAAGTTGAAAACGGCAGGCCGTATGTATACACTCACATTTCACATGACAACGAATCGGAAGACACAAGTAGGCTAATGAACAATCCCAGTCTTCATAAAGATCTTGCCAAGCCAAATAAGAAATAGGATGTTAGAAGAGACATAATGTGATACTGCCATTATTGGTATAATTACATGAAACTGCATTGAGACTTCTGAAGTTATTCATTTTCAAAAGGCACCTTTGAAACAACATTTGGCTTATACCTTCCATACCTTGCACTTTTGTACACATTTAGCCTGCTAAGCTTGTAAAATATGAAAAAAAATGGAGCAAGGAGTATTTTAGTATAAACTGCTCCCATATGAGTCAGACAGGAAAAAGGCTTTATTTAATTGGTCCCTGAGAATGGCCTTTAACCCTCAGCTGCTCCAGAGCATGCTTCTCAGTGGCCAGTAGGTCACACTGAGATTGTCACGAGCAGCTTCCAGGTGTGAAAATATGCCGTTATCACACATGAACTCTGGACTTTGTCTGCGGAATCATGCCCGGACTTTGTCCAGAGTTGCCCTTTCACACTTGTAGCGCGAAGCAGGAGATACAGACGTATTCTCCCCTACTGGAAATACTTCATTTGGATTCTGCAAGGGGGAGCTTCTGGGTAGAGTGCATAGGAGGCGGGACATGATGTAATCACGTAGCCAATTTGGTCATAAACAACCGAGTCTCTTGCCTTGTGTGACGGCACAACTGGCACCAGCTTTTAACGACAGAAATTCCTGGATTTCATCGTGTCTCTAGTTAGTTATTTTTGTTGGCACCTTCATTGCAAATGACAGTTTTTCTTCACCATCAGATGTTTCTGTTTTTCCAGTTTCACAATGGCCCCATGTTAATACTCTGGACTCTGCTGTACTCTCACATGGGCTCACTGGGACAATACACAGATTTTGTTAGGGAGCTGGCAGGGTAAAGTTCGCTCAAGGTCTGGGTCGACTGACTCAGACATTTGCCTTCTCACATACAGGTTCCTTGGGTGATGTCTAGAGAATCTAAGGGTTCCAGTGCCTGTCTGAAAAGGACTTATGTAACTGTTCTGAGAAACAGAGTCTGGCTGTCAGCTGTATTTCTCTTCTTAACTATAGGTTTAAAAATACCTTAATGTACACTTCCCAGTTAGTAATATATATTGATATAAAAAATACAGTAATATTGATTTCTGTTCCTACTGCCAGGCCCTGCGTGTCTGAATGTTCCGTAGTTCTTTTGCCTCCATGGCTGCACACTCTCCTGACATCATTCTTTTGCCTGTGTTGCTGGTGAATCTGCCGCCTGCGCAGCAGTGAGTGGCTAAAGTCATTCAGCAGTCAGTACGGCGGCAGCGCAGGAGCACAACACTCTGATTGATGTCCTTTTTCTCTTGTTTTGACTGTAGTGAGCTCAATATAGTGAGAAATGTCCATTTAAACTTTTCCAGTGCACTGTAATTTCCCTTAATAACATTTACTTGATCGCCCACTTCCTTTTCTCCTGCTCATTATCTCTGAAGCCAGCAGTCCATTAAGCTTTTATCTTGTATACCTGATTTGTTACTAATTTCCCTGCTGCCTCGTCCTCAATACTGTCTTTGTGCTTTGTTGTGGCATTTCTTCCTGCAGCATCAGCTACCATAAAGTCCTGTCAGTTAAACTCACTGACTTCAAACTGTTACTCTGGATTATGTTTAACACATTACTTCATTGTCCTATTTATTTAACTGCCTGACTGTTAGAAGCTGATGTTTATGCATGTTTTTGCAGTCTCAGCCGGGACAGCAGCATGGCCTCCAGACAAAATACAGAGACTGAGCCTCAGGAGCCCAAGGATGCCACGCCTACAGAAAACAACACAGCCAACTGCACCAACAGTCAAACAGCTCTTACCACCGCGCCCAAAAGGCAGGACAAAGCCATGGAACAGCAGCCACTTAAACACACCTTGGTCCCATCCAGGACATCCAATTCACCCCCTGAGTCTCTGGACCCGGCTTTAGACCCCTCCTCGCTACCACCACCAGACCCCAGCCTGGCGACTGGAAACTGCAGCATTCACGGAGATGGTGCTCAACCCAGCACGCCAGCTTGCCTCCGAGATGGTAACTGGTTTCTGAAGCTGCTGCAGGCGGAGACAGGCCGCATGGAGGGCTGGTGTCAGCAGATGGAGCAGGAGACCGGAGACGACAAGCTCTCGGAGGAAGGTAAGTGACAGAATTTCATGAAGTGGTTATCAACACATTCAGGCCTTATTTACACTTTCATCTCAAGGTTTTTGCATCGGCATAAAATCTATAGGACATTTTCAGTTATACTTTGCTATGTATGCGTCTTTGTTGGCCAGGTCACAAGGCTGATTGCAGTATGTTTTCCCAGGCTACATGCAAATCAGGGTCGGGAATCCTGCAGTTCAGAGGGTGGTGGTAATTAGGGTTGGGCGATGTCTGTGGAATTGGCACACGATAATGTCTGCAGTGAAATATTACTATGGACAATGATATGACACACTTGAGGTGGTGTGCAGGATTTGTTCAGTAACGTAAAAGATGAACAATGATGAATCTTCGTGGCTCTTTACAGCACTAGTTAAAAAACAGGAAGCTGCTACCTGAACGATCTCCACATGGTGTCACCTTGCATTGCTGTACCTGGGTGTAAATGCAGGATATAACAATTAGGAATTATTTGTTTAAGACCGGTATAGCAGAGAACGAGATGGTTCACTCAGGAAGGTTTAATCCTCAGTGTTGCAGTGCACAGTTCTTATTTAAGTTTAGGTAAAGCAGTAACAGTTAAGCTAATATTAGCAGGCTAATAACTATCCCGAAGCTAATACAAAAACACATGGATGAATCACATTTCATGAATTAGGTGCAAGGCAACAGTTTTATCATCTTCACAGATTCTTTCTCACCCCTCTCCCTCACCTGCATAGTTCATTCTGTGGTCAAACTGCTCGGGAATCAGATAAATGCTCCAACACAGTTTTTTCTGTATGATCTACCGTATATTAGTTAACTCACCTGAGCTAGTGTTTCCTGTCGCTTTAACAAGACAGGGAGAACGACAGGTAATTTCAGTGTGACTTTAACTGCAATTATCCCAGCAGACAGACCCTGTGAGTGGATGTATCAGTAGACTGTTAACTGACATAACTGCACTTGGGAGGAGTAAACAAGAGTAGGAGTAAAGCTTGGAGAAATAGATGCATTAGCACCTTTTAACATCTGGCTAGAATGTGTCTCAACTCACCTTCTGAGTTGGTTTGAATATCAGATTTCAGTGCATCTGCAGAAGGCACATGAAGTGACAAAGAGTAAAAGGGGTCTTACAATGACTTAATCTAGAAAGAGTCTTTAAATTGTTTCACAGTAAAATAGTACAACAGTACAAATTAGCTTGTCAGGGCAGTGGTGTGAGGAATTGAACTGATGTCCCTGATAGTGGGATTCACACACGGGACATTAGGTCTTGTCCATGTTGACTATGGACAATGAGACAAAGCACAACAAACTCATTACTGCCATTGACTCACAGTAACACAGCTCATTAGAGTGGGAGTAACAGAGCCACCGCAGAATCATTTCACTTTGTCATCTCCCAGAATACCTCTCAGGCTTTCAGGCAGATCTATCTCTGCAGTGTCTTAAATATGAATGAGCAAGGAACAGACTAACTGTAGAGGCTCCATCAGATTGCTCTCTGTGGATCTGAATTATGAATTTCAATTTCCACATGCAAATATTGGGCAGAAAATAGCTGAATAAGAAGTAATTTTTTGTCCTCTCTATGACTGAATTAATAAATTACTTCTAAAGAACTCATTTACTGTTGCAGAATGTTTAATACTAAATGTTGGTGTAAATATTTCATTACCAGACAGGAAAAAGTTTAGTCACGCTCTCCTGGTGTAGCTTTTACCCTTCATACACGATTCTCTCTCTCTCAAGTGCTAAAGGACTCGTGTCTTTACTGAGGAACTCAAAGTAGCAGCCTCTTTACATCCTTTTTGTAGTGTTGCATACCACTTTTTTTGTAGCTCAAAATGTTTTATTTTATTACTCCACTCATTGTTGTCAGCTTGTTGATCATTTACTGTCATGCTTTTCTAGTGCTGGGGACGATCCGCAGTGCAGTAGGCAGCGCTCAACTCCTCATGTCCCAGAAGTTCGAGCAATTCAGAGGGCTCTGTAATGAGAACTTGGTGAGTGGCTCCATTACATCCTATTGAATCTCTCTCTGATACACTACTCTACTACATTTTTTTGCTAGCCTCTCATGTTCTACCAAATACTTTGATCTTTGTACTGATAACATTGTTTGTCCTGCACACACTGACATACAAAAGCCTTTTACATTTAAAGAGGAACTAGAAACATGAAATCCTTAATGATTCATCCAGCCAGGTTTAGTGGGAGAGATGATCACTTGACTCAATAGGCTGTGGAACCTTCTTCACAGACATTCTCTGTTATGGGTTTAATATTGCTGAAAAGTAATCATCTCTGAAAGTTGGTGCGTGATAAATGTGTTTTCTCTTCATCTATTTGCTTGAATGGAAGCTGCCCAGGGGATATGTGTGTGTGATCTGGACAAAGCAATTCATCTGTTACTTCCCAATACAATGTCATTTTCATCTCACTAGAACGTGAACGCCAACCCACGGCCAACAGCACAGGACCTCGCAGGCTTCTGGGATCTGCTACAACTCTCAATAGAAGACATCAGCATGAAGTTTGATGAGCTCTACCAGCTGAAAGCCAACAACTGGCAACTTCCTGAGAAACCAGAGAAGAAGGTGATGTTTGGTGCCAGACAGTATTCATTATACTAAAGCTGTATAGGATATAGGGATGCACATTTTCTTTTTTTTTTTCCTGTGTAGGAAAAACACAAACAGCCAGTCACCATTCTTGCAGTCCCCGTGTGGTATCTCAGTCAACATTTAATAAAGATTTCAGCTACACTGTACCCAGCGGATTGAACGCCGGGTCATGTAACTTCCGTAATTAGAGCATAGCATCTTTGTGCAGAACTAAGTCCTAAATGCAGCTTAGGTCAATTAAATGTCATCACTTAACAGAACCTTAATTTGTAACTTTTGATGACAGCCTCATTATGCAACATTTATTTTTTCTGGCGCACCATTTTCAAAAGTAAGGATTTGCTCGTTTTTCCCTGTTTTGTATCACTGTATATTAAATATCTTTGGGCTATCTAATGCTGGTCTGATCGAACAAGTCAAGGATGTCAGCTTGTAATGTGCATTTTTAATAAATGTCAAACATTTTATAGACAAAACAACTAACGACTAATCACAAATTTTAATAGTAATCTGAAGATTAAACAGTACTGAAAATAATTTAGTTGCCTTCCTGAAGCGAAGCCTTACATTCATTTTATAAATGCATATAAATGACAGCATTTCAGCACCACTGATGTTTCTGTTTGCAGCTAGTGCTGAACTATACTTTAATGCTCTTCCTTCTCGACATGACGTCCCCAGGATGAAAACAAGCATCCTCCATCATCTGTGGCAAAGAAGCATTCTAAGCCCAAGGTGTCAGCGGGGAAGGACAGGAGTGTGGACTCGGCTGTGGACAAGCAGCGGCAAGAAGCCAGAAAACGGTTGATGGCAGCAAAGCGTGCGGCATCAGTACGACAGAACTCCGCCACAGAAAGCACTGACAGCATCGAAATCTATGTCCCTGAGGCCCAAACCCGCCTCTGAGAGCAAACCAGCACAGACCATCAAAATCATGACTCACTTCAAACTTTTCACTGATACACACAGACACATTTGAGACGAACACACAGACGTAGAACGGATGCACAGAGGCCGGCCCCTCATAGCAGCACAGCTGAAGACAGGAGAAACTTGGGGATCATTACAGGGCACCGAAACAATCTAGAGCAATGCAGATCATCACCCTGCTGCCATGGGACAGAAAGAACCATGACAGATGTTTAATAATATCGTTATTGTTGTTCCTATTGACATTATGAAATTATTATCTCCTTAAGTATATTAAGACTGTCTTAAATGTGCAAGTATCTTGGATAAGGACATCCTGTACCTTGTGAGCTGAAGAGTCTCGGTATCCCAGAAGTTTACTCTATTAAAACTCCCCTCACTGCTGAGTCTACGAGCTAGTCGTTGTTACCGGGTTACAAGCTGAGCTACCATCCACACACACTCAGGACACACATGCAGGTGTACTCACTGTCCACAGAGTCTTCCTGTTCTCTATTTGCTGCCACTCGCTGTGTGTGGTGTGTACGCTTTAATGTGTATAAGACGGCGCTAATGTACTCAGAGGTTTAAAATGCAGAGAACCAGAGGAAGGCAGTAGCATATATATATATTATAAATATCACACTATTACAATGTTCATTTTGTAAATGTTGTATACCAGATTATTTGTTAGAAAGAGATCAGTGTTCAGTACCAAGGTAGTTTTTTTATAGATCAAGTACATGTACTGTCATGATATATTAGCAATTGATGCAATCATTCACTCCACCGCTTTCTGTTTCTCACCTTAACACAAACACACACACTCCACTTTGTGTGTTTGTGAATAATCACTGTTAAAGTCTTACATTTGTTTTTGTGAAGGGATTTGAGAAATGATTGGTCACCAGTGAGCTATAGAGGAATGTATGAATTGTCTGCATTTACACTCATGTTGACTTGATCTCTGCACTTTCCATTCACTTCAGATCAAGTTTGTCCACCTTTGCCTGCTTGATCATTCAGACTTTCACTGCATCCTTGTGTGATGTAGGGGACCAAGACATTCACCCCTCGATTATGGCATTCCCATTCAACCAGACTACGTGCGGTAGGGTGGGGGTTTACTTGCTTCTGGAAAGAAAATGGAATAACATAGCAATAATAATCATATTAGCGCAAGCAAGCAATGCAGTAGATACCCAGTCTTACATTATTTAATTCAGCCTTTCCAGCAAGACTTTCTTAGCATGAAGGATGAATGTTTATTTTTGCTATGAACTGACTGTCAATGAAATGACTAAAATCTCAGGTTGAACACTCAAACGCAACAGTAAAAACCACTATGGATGGATTATTTATTATGTAACCTCAAATGAATTGGCCAAGTGCTCAGAGCATTGCCAAATATTTTAATGCCAGACCTTCTCTGTGTTCTTCAGGAGGTCATGTATCTTAGGTTTTTGATTCACTGAAATCAGCCGTCTCCCTCACTCCCCTTTCTAGCAGCTTGACACTCCCACCCATTTATTCAGAATTTTTAAAATTGTGGTACATTTTTATGTTTAAATTTTAATGTCATTTGACACATTTTGTGACTTATTCCAAATGAGGTCAACCTAAATATGTCTTGACCTCTTTAATTATAATAATAAATGGTGCTGCGAGGGATTTCATATACGCCAAGACAGTAATGATCATCAGCATTTCAGAGTCATTAGAAAAGGCTTTTTATTTAAAGTAGTTGTTTTATTTAATCTGCTCATGAATTTAGCTGTCTATGTGTGTGCGTGTGTGCATTCTCAGCACAGTCTGTGTCCAGCTCACTCCAGATACACTATGCCTGGTTTCTGTGTAAACTCAAGACACTTTGATTATGGGACTGGAATAGTTTCTATGTTTCATCTTCAAATAGAAAGATGTGCCAAGGGTACATGAGTGGAACAGGGCATACAGGGCTCAAGTGGAAGTGCACTCACTAGTTTTGTAGTTTTTAGTATGAGCTGGCTCTCCCCCTAGTGGTCGGTCCTTGTGTGACACTCCAGACATATTGTTCTGCTCCATTTTGAATCCTTAGTTAACAGCAAACAAGAAATGAAGTTGAACTGGGAATGCTGACACAGCAACAAGTTGTTGATTTACTTATTATCTTATTTGTATTACATCAACAATGGACATGTGCATTTCATTGTCCAAAGAAATCATTAAACACCCCTTTGCTACATGTCCTGGTCATCATTTTTTTTGTCGTTTTTATTGCACTCATCCATAATACAATGGTAATATTAGCTGCTGAGTTAATATTACAAGCAAATAAACCATAAGCATTAGATTAGACCATTTATTGTTTTTGTGTGATCTCAAAAAGCATGGCCTTCTTACATATATAAATACACAAGATCCTTGCCAGTGAATTTTCAGTACTCCTTTAAATGGGTCTTGCAAATTATCTGAAACTATACAATCTGTGTAAGGCATTCAGGGTATGTGCTGGATGTGAGAGTTTATAACTATGACAAATGGTGAAAAATGCTCTCCTTTTTCATACCACTTGAGAGCTACATCCCTTTATTTGCCCACATACTGACCTTTAAGAGAGGAGGACCTGATCAGGGATCTTCAGACAGTTCACCAGTACTTCCCGAGTTTCAAAGGGCTACAAAATGGCCACACGATAAGCAGAGGGTGCAACGCTGGAGGCAGATTATATGGATGTGTGATTTAACCACCATGTGGACAAGGCGTACTCTCCAGTCAAGTGATTTTTAGAATCTACTGAATGGTCTGAGACACGGTGCCAGTAAAAAAATGGGTCACTGTGGAAGCTTGGAGGAAACACAGTGAGAATTATGAACCCATTCTAGTGGCCATCCCTGTCTAGATATTTATCCACACTTGGCCTCTCAGAGATCTGGCTCTAAAATAAGCAAAAACTACGTGGTTTCAGATCATCTTGTACTGACAAACATTGTTTTACAAAATAAGCACATATCTTACAGATGAAGGGTTGTTTAATGTTATGATGTATTAGTTAGACACTGTGAGGCTAGTTTCTTTGAAGAGAACAAAGAATTGTGATTGCACTGAGTTATGTGGCATATTTTCTGTATGAAATGAGGTGTATAATTAAAGGGGAATGCCACTCAATTTTTTGAATGCATGTGTTTTTTCTTAAAGGTGCAGTGTGTGAGATTCAGTGACATCTAGTGGTAAGGCTGCAGACTGCAACATTCAGCAAGGCTATCATGCAGCTGCTTCACATCGTTTACCCTAAATGTTGAACAAATTGTGCACTCTGCAACCAAAAGCTAACGGTGGCTCACTTGACTGCAGCTCACTCACTGGCTATGTTCCAGCTAAGGCTATCAAACAAAAACTTGCATTTAGGTTAACTTTACTTGTTACGTTAAATTACCTCCTGCATCATTCTGGAAACATTTTCCCTCATCAAGGATTTACATCTGGGAAAGGCCATGTCAATGTTTATCCTCCTCTTGTGCTGTCACCTATCTTGTTTCTTCTTTGTGTCTTTGCTTCTTTGACAATAGGAATCCAGGCTGTCTTCCTTTTGCTGGTGTTAAAATTATGATTGTCTATTGTAAATTATAGTTCTTAAACACTCATGACAATGCTTCCTCTTGTTTCTAATCCTACTTTGTCTTCCAAGCATCTCCAAATCCAAGCTGCTACTTCAACATGAAAATGCAAAATTCACACTCTAAACCAGTGTGTGGTTTGTTTGTGCTGGACTACTGTAAAAAAAAAACACGGCAGCTCAACATGGCGGCCTCCATGATAGGGGACCCACTCCTATGTAGCTATAAAAGGCTCATTCTAAGCTAAAGAAAACACTATTCTTATTTTCTGGTGATAGCACATTAATGAAAACAAAGTTATGTATACTATGGCCCATTTCTGCTAATAACTCCTTCTAGATCTTACACACTGCACTTTTAAATATATGTTTAAAGAAATGACCTCAATTCTATTCATTGTTGTTCTTGGATGGAGAAAAGAAAAAAATTCTCTGTGATCTCAAAGTCAAATTTGTTTCCTTTTGTGCACAGTTGTTTTTACTGTTACATAATTTAAAATAAAACAAGGGTCAGCAAAACATTTCCATTTGGTCCACCTTAGTACATGGTCATACTAATATTCTTCCTAGTAGTTACAATAGTTACAAATGAAATGTTAACACCATATATTTTCATAGTGTGCTTCCAACTTTTTTGCAGCAGTTTGAGGAATGTCCTTTCCTGTTTCAACATGACAGTCCCTCCATGCAGAAAGCAGGTCTGTTCACTTTGGAACAACTTGGCAGGACTGTACAGAGCTTTGACCTCAGTTACTGCCCTCACAGTTGTGATTAATTGGAACAAGGTCTGTGAACCAGCAGTGCCTAACCTCATTAATGCGCTTGTTGTTGAATGGGAGCAAATTCCTTTGGCCAGATTGCAAAATATTTTGGAAAGCCTTCAAAGACAAGTGAAGGCTATAACAGCATATTAAGTAAACGGTCTACTTACTTCTTCCCCACTGCAAAAAACATTTACAAAAGATGGAAAAACAACCCCAAAAGATGCAAACAAAAAGGCTTTAGATAACTTTTGACTGAGATTTCAGAATTATTTTTTTGTTGACTTTCACCTTTGACCTTTGTGAAAGGATAATGACCTTGTAATGTCTTAATACGTGTTGCTGTTAAAATACTGTCTTTAAATGACTTCATTTCGGAAAACATACCCGGAAGCATTAGTTTTTTTTTTTTCGGTAGCTTGAGAGCAGTCACTGGGGAGGCGGAGCTTAAACATCCGAGAAGAAGAAGAAGAGGGCGTCTCCGGCAACGGTCAGAGCTGAGTGGTGACAACGCTGTGTGTCACGGAGAAGTGTTACTCTATACCTGCTTGTTTGTGGTAAGTTCACCTTCGGCTTTTGATTTCCGCCTCGCTTTCACGGTTTTTATAGTGCTGGGGTTCGGGTTAACGACTGTTTCTTTAGTTACCTGAGGAATTGATGAACTTTGCACCAGGAGTGTGTGTTGTAACGTTATTGTTATCATTACGTTACGTTAATAGATACCACTCTGCTGTGTGTGACAGGAAAACGTCTGATGTTGAAACACACGTCTTCATGATGGCGACAGCTTTCCATAACGTCAGAGCTGTTGCCCTGTTAATTTATACATTAGTTTAGCTTTGACCTGAGATAATTAGCCTTTAACCAGCTTAACCGGGGGGGCGGGGGGGCGGGGGTACCCAATCGACCGGTTCCCACAAACAAGTTAACAGCCTCAGTAAAGAGTCAAAGATGCTTATTTGTCCAACCACCAACTAACTAAAAAGTACTGTATTCACTTTTACTATCTGACACTGAGTAGAGGGTTTGAAACGACCCATTTACTGTTTGACAGAAAATGTATCTGCAGCTGTTTTCACAAGTGATGATCCCACCTTCTCTGACGTGGCTATTTGGCTTCTCAGATTTTTTAAAAATGGAATTAGAAATTTTATTTCGTACATATAAGAGGAAAATAATCATGCAAACAAGCAGACAAAGGAGAAAAAAATAAGTAAATAAATCTGTTTACATGTTAGAAAAGAATCCCACCCCTTCTCCATTAGTTCATAATTAATAACTATTCAGCTTCCTGCTTTTAATTACATAGTTATATTGTTATTTTACAGAAGGAGGAAAACAAACAAACAAAAACAATAATCACTGTGAACACCTGGTGACTGTCAAACCCTTTCTTCACCCCTGTACCTCATAAATATAATGTCTCTATACTTGGTTTTAAACTGATTAGTGTTTGGACAGTGCTTTAACTCGGACTTTAAACTGTTCCATAATTTAACATCACAAACTGAAACACAACAACTTTTCATGATTGTCCTCACCCTGTGAGCTTTTTTGTTTGTATAAATAATTCTTATTGCTCTTTTCTGGAGATTGATCAGTGAATACAGGGAACTTTTGCACCGTAATTTCAATATGGTAATACAAGTTAACTGTAAAGATGCTTTGCTTTATTTAAACTCAGATCTGCAACAATTAATCATTAGTTGATTGATTTAAAAACTACTAGATGATCATTGATAAACATTTCCATCCTTTTTCAAGCAAAATGCCAAAAAAAAAAAAAAAAAATAGTTTCAGCTTCTCAAATGTGAGAAGTTGCTGCTTTTCTTTATTCATTACAGTATTTAGAATATTTTTAAGTTATTATTTTGTCATGGTCATTTATCCTTCTTCTTTTGGCTGTTTTGTAAACTAAATGTTACATCTTTTAATGGAGAAAATAATCAGCAGATTAAACAAAAATGAAAATAATCACTAGTTTAAAATAAACTGTATAATAGTGTTTTTAACTTTGGGAAATTGTGTTGGCCCAAATGATGATCAGTTAGTCATGAAAATATTGAACATATTCATTTATAATGTATTAGTTATAAACAGACTAAAATGAACACTTCACCTTTGCAAAGTTGTCATCAGCAAATGTTAGGATATTACAATGCTGGGTTATCATAATTGGAATTTATGATTTAGTATTATTGTCTGTAGCTCAAGTAGTTGAGTGATTAATTATTTAAGTACTGTTGATTTCATTTTGAGCTTATAAAATATTCAGATACTTTGGTACTTATGGTAATTGGCTCCTCCAATTTCCTCCAATAATGCATCTGTTTGCTTTACATGTAACACCTACAGTGTATTACAGTATTGGCACTGTGCATTGGCTCTGATCATGAGTTGGCATGTGACAGCGTGCTCATGGTTCAGATCAACTGTATCATCCAGCAGCGTTTGATATGACACAGCCAAGTCCTGTCCTCAACAGAGAGATGCAGACCTCATCGAGCCAGTGACCAGAGTTTGCTGTCCCCAAACCAGCCGTGACAGGACAGCAGGACACAGATCAGGCCCAACATGGCTGCCAGGCAACAGAGAGCTGCATCTGCTCCAGACGGCTCAGCGGAGGCCAAAAGGACAGACCTCAGGGCCAATGAGAAGAAATGTTGTGAGTGTTTTGTTCATCCTGTGTTGAGTCTTTATAGGAGGCTGTAGCCTGTTGTGTATTAATAATTGAACTCTGTGCACCTTAACTATTACATTATTAAATATGATGCAGTAGCACTGTGTTCTAGTGGTTCTTTTGATCGCATTTCCATCTCAGGAATGTGAGATGGATCTAAAAGACTCCATCAGAATGTGTCTTGAGCCCGCTGGGCATCGAAGTTGCAGGCGTGTGTTCATACCATTTCGAGTCAAGTCTGGTCTCGCTAAGTGTTTTTTGCTTTGACAGATTTATTTTCTCTGAGCCTGTTCTTTCACAGACGAGAAAAAATTGTCAGAAAATTTTCCATTTCATGTTCCAGCCAACAAGGTGACCGTGGATTACCACAGTAAATCTGGCTGCTAAGCAGAAGTACTTTGAGAAACATTAGCCAGCAGTGGAGACATAATGATGGGTGAATGTTAACCAGCTGGTAGAAGGGTGACACTAGATTATTCCACAAGTCGGTTGTCCTTGTAGGTGTGTATACAGATCTGCCCTTTTAGTACAAAAAGGACAACATTCCAGAATCAGGTTTTATGGGTGAGGTAAGTTTGAGCTTAAAGTGAAGGTAAGCGTTAAGCATTTGCATGTTTAATAACTGAAATCTCTGTGTGTGTATGCATGATTGTTTTGTGTGCAAACTGCAGCTTGGGCCTCCTACATGACCAATTCTGCCACTATGATAGTGATGATTGGGTTGCCCGCTAGGGGGAAAACCTACATGTCCAAGAAGCTGACACGCTACCTCAACTGGATTGGAGTGCCGACTAAGGGTCAGTACATTATGCTACATGTTTGACCTTTATGCACAATGTAACATTTGATAATATAAAACAGGTTAAGATTGAACTCTGATGAAATATTGGAGTGGATATTTATAAACTATTTTATTTTTGGCAAGGCCCTCAGAGTAAAATAGGGCAGTACCATGATACATTATTCCTTCGTGAAGGCTGTAGCGGCATTCAGAGACAGAGAACCGGAGTGGAAAATCTTGTGCTTAAAGCACTGCTGTGCTAATTATTTTTTATGTTCATGTCACTTCCTCTTATGGGTTTTTCTATTGAGACAAAGGTCACCACCCGGACAGAACACAATGCAGTAATCCCTTTCCCTCTCCTTGCTTCTTTTACAGTGTTTAACCTTGGAGTTTATAGGAGAGAAGCAGTGAAGTCGTACCAGTCCTACGACTTCTTCAGGCATGACAATAAAGAAGCAATGGCGATTAGAAAGTGAGTGAGAGAGTTCCTCTTTATGTTAATCTCCTCTACTAAGCCCAGTACTTTAGGTTAGTCCTCAGGTGCTTCTTTTGACAACATGGTGTTTGTTTAACAAGTGGAGCTGTAATTATAACAGTGTGTGTGTATGTGTTGAAGATACATTTAAATGGTGAACGAATTTGATTTCCTAATCGTTTTTTTAATGTTGCCTACACAGACGGTGCACTCTGGTGGCACTGGACGATGTAAAGGCCTACCTGAACGAAGAGGGAGGCCAGATCGCTGTAAGGACACAGAAACTGAACATTGTGTATATTCTGTGTTATGCAGTTGGGCCTGGATATACTTTGCTGTTTTTCAGGTTTTTGATGCCACAAACACTACCAGAGAGAGGAGGGAGCTCATCCTTAATTTTGCAAAAGGCAATGCATACAAGGTCTGTTTTCCATTGTTGGTTTAATCATTTTTGATCAATCACTGCGTAAATACTGTAGTGTATCTGTGCAGAAAGTTTTTAGACCCTTTCAGATTTTTCACATTTTATGTTTCGGATTTCTATCATTGTGGAGCATTGTGTGCAGATTGATGAGGAAAAAATTGAACAGAATCAATTTTAAGATGTCTGAAACATGTCAAAATGTGGAAGAGTCGGAATACTTTTTGTACTGACTGTGCACTGATGACGCATTTCTCTTCTCTTCAAAAATGTCTTTTGATAGGTGTTTTTTGTAGAATCAATATGTGACGATCCAGATGTCATCGCTGCAAATATCCTGGTATATGACACCTTTATGCTTTAATGTTATATTATGAGCACACTTTTGTTCTTGAAATGTTAAAAATGCTGGAGAATCATCTCTACAAATGTCTTTCGTTAAGGATGTGAAGGTGTCCAGCCCAGATTATTCTGAGAGGAACAGAGAAAGTGCCATGGAGGATTTTCTGAAGAGAATAGAATGTTATAAAGTGACGTACCAACCTTTAGATCCAGACGAACATGACAAGTAATAACAATTTTTGTCAAAGACTAACTGCATTGTGTGTGTGTGTGTGTGTGTTTATTTATTTTTGCTTTGACACTAATCCAATCTAAGGAAAAGCCATTCAGACCAAACTGTTCACTAGTGTTGTCATTGTTGCAGATTATTTGGTAATTTTCAAGAACACACACTTGCAGAAATTGCCCAGTAGGTGGAGCTAGTGGCTCAACTATGGTTTAGTAAGGTCTGCTATTTATGGACTTTTGATTTATGGAACTGATATATGGTGAATCCAGTGAAGTAATAATTAGTCTCAGAAACCTACATCAGGTGGAACTTTTTAAACTCCTGATAACTATCTTAACTATAAGGGGTTTATTTGATTTATTAGTTTTATGAACTGATTTTTGCAGATCTGTGATCACTTCCTCAGTAGTGCATTTAAATAAAGTAACGGTACTAACCTTATGTACTTGAATCTTTGATTGTAGAGCAGAGTAATAGTTTCTGATCCTCATAAACCTTGACAATATTATTAAGCTGCTGACACAGAATATTTGGAATTGTGGTGGATGAAATATCAGGATGTTGAGTCTGTACCAAAAGTACAAGATGTCCCTTGTCTAACTCTGTCCCTTGTGTATGTTTGACTCACATTCTGTTGTTTTCTCCTTTTTCTCACTCTGACCTAAAGGAACCTGTCCTTTATCCAGGTCATAAATGTTGGCTGTAGTTTCTTGGTCAACAGGGTGCAGGACTACATCCAGAGTAAGATTGTCTATTACCTCATGAACATCCACGTACACTCCCACTCCATCTACCTCTGTCGGCACGGAGAGACCCAGCACAATTTGGAAGGACGCATCGGGGGAGACTCTGAACTGTCAGACAGAGGGAAACAGGTGCTTTAACAAATACTGTCATTATTATATTTCTAAATGTCACAAAGATGGCAGCATCTCCAAAAGTCTTAACAGAGTAGTTCAACATTTTAAAGCTTGTTTGCTTTTTCAGAGAGGACTAACATTTGTAGTTATATTTTTGCATAAATATTCACCCTCTTTAAAATGGCTGACCTAATTCAACAGAGGTCCAGCCAGTTGGTGCAAGTAGTCTCACAATTAGTGACATGGGGATCACCTGAGTGCAGTTAATGCGTCTCAAGTGATTGTAGTATAAAGACACCTGTGTCTGGAAGGTCCTCAATCCAATAGAGAATCTGTGGGTGGACTTGAAAAGGGCTGTTCATGCCTGATCCCCATGCAACCTGGCAGAGCTTGAGCAGTTTTGCAAAGACGAGTGGAGAAAAATTGCAGTGTCCAGATGTGCAAGCCTGATTGAGACCCATCCACACTGACTCAGTGCTGTGATTGCAGCCAAAGGTGCATCTACTATATACTGACTTGAAGGGGGTGAATATTTATGCAATCACGTATTTCCCATTAGATATTTTTATTTAATTGACATTACTTTGTAGAAACCTGTTTTCACAAGCCAAATTGTATTGACCATGATTGATTTATAAAAATCAATAAATATTTATTTTAAAAAAGACAAGTGAAGTATCTTCCAACTCTCAACAAGTCATATTTTACCACTATGAACTAGTCCTTTAATGTATGTGTGTATATAAAACTTAACTAATTAAAATTATTTTCCCAAGTTATAAAATAATACAAGTTTCTCCACCTTATAAGAGTCTCTTTACCAGTTTGCAGCAGCTCTGAAGGGTTTTGTGGAAGAGCACCGTCTGTCGGACCTGAAGGTTTGGACCAGCCAGCTGAGACGCACCATTCAGACGGCAGAGGAGCTGGGTGTTCCCTATGAGCAGTGGAAGATCCTGAATGAAATCGATGCTGTATGTCCACAGAAAAAAACAGACACATCATGAGGGCCTGTCAGATTATGACTGTTTTGATTTCTTTGTGTTTCAGGGAGTGTGTGAAGAGATGACCTATGAGATGATTGAGGAAACATACCCAGAGGAGTTTGCCATGAGGAACCAGGACAAGTATAACTACCGCTACCCTGGAGGAGAGGTAGGAGCTCGTTGTTTCGTCCAAGATGATGATGATGCATGATTGGTGCTGTCAGCAGTGGGAGTGTGAGGGGATGTGAGTGTGTGTGTGTGCGTGTGCGCTTGTGCTTGGATTTCACAAAGTTTAGGGTTTGTTTGGTTTGTAGTCGTATTTTCTCATGATAAGATGGATAATGTCATAGTCAAATCACTGCACTTTTTATAGCTACATTGTTGTAAACAGAGCAGCATAAAACTTTATTATTAAACTGACCCTTGCCAGCACTTTTCATTTCGCTGCCTATGTGGATGTGATGTTTTCACATCATGGATGGTGAACAAAAGCATTAAAATGTGAGTCTGACAGGTAAGAATTGATATAGAGATGTTAAATTTGACTTGACATTACATGTACCTGTCCTGTCTCTCTAGTCCTACCAGGATTTGGTTCAGCGGCTGGAGCCACTCATCATGGAGTTGGAGCGACAGGGCAATGTTCTGGTCATCTGTCATCAGGCTGTCATGCGCTGCTTGCTCGCCTATTTCCTGGATAAGAGTGCAGGTTACATACATGATCACAAACATGATCCACTCCAAGACAGTGCGTTACATTGTTGTTACCTCTGCCAACAACAGTTTTTATCATTTATCTAAAACTTGTATTTAATTCAGTGATTTTTCTTTAACAGTGGTTTACCAATCACAAAAGAGCTTAATGAAGTAATTCAATGCCATATTGTTTCTCTGAGTGCTGAGAAACAGTGTTAAACTGCAGCTAAACTAAATGTTTATGAGGGGACTGTTGAATAAACACTGGAGAGAGATTCAGTACCCAGAGTGCATTAAAAAGTATTCAGACCCTTTCAGGATTTCCACATTTCCCATTTACTTAAGCATTCAGATGCTTTGTTTTGACATCCTCCTCCTATTACTGATCGCTAAGATGCTTCTGCAACTTGATCTGAGTTCCATTGTGGTTAATGGCTTGGACATAATTAAGAAAGATCCCCATCTGACTATATCAAGTTTGACAATAGATGGTGTATGTCAGACAGAATTGTCTGTAGACCTGCAAGACATAACTGTGTCAAGGCACACATCTGGGGAAAGGTACAAAAAAATAAATAGGACATCTCTACAGGGACCTGAAAATGTCTGTGCACTGACACATTTGAATAATCTTTAACCCATACACAAGCAACATGAGACTTTTACAGAATAATCACACAAAAATTTGATACTGGAATTGGTTGTAATTTGACATCTTACGGGCATCAACTAGTCTTGTTCTGCAAGTCCATATAACGGGATTAGGCATAGTATTAGGTTAGTAGCTTGTTAGGTGGGTGTTGTATCTGCTTCTCTAAGCTCCAGGCTGCAGCAGTCTCTTAATTGTAAATATTTTTTGCAACATTCAAGGATTAAGGTGAACTTAAATTATAACTAAAGAAATATCCACAAGCAAAACATATTACAAGTAATTACCACTCTGAATCATTTCAATAGATATTTTGACTGGATTACAAAACAGGCCGGTGGACCCACTTTACTTATGTACAGTTAAAAAAGGTTTAAATACATAAAATGTGCACCTGAATATTATTTGGGTGGTTACAGAGGAAAATACTGCTCAAAGTCAAATCCATAATGGGACATGGGCTGGCTAGGGTTTGTCATTCAGCAGAGGAAGTGGTCACTGCTAAACCACAGCAGACAGTGGGCGCAGTCCTGACTGGCATTTTATCCCACTACATCCGCCTGTGGGGCATGTGGCACTGAAGGCTTAACACAGCAGCATACACTGGACCTTATATCATCAGCTTTACAACTGTCTGAATGCTGTAAAGTCCCAAATAAAGAGAGAAAAATTCACTCCATCAGGATGTAACCACAGCACAGAAAGCCTCACAAGTTGTTTTCATCTTTGTTGGCACAGATGACCTACCTTACATAAAATGTCCCCTGCACACTGTCCTGAAACTCACCCCTGTGGCTTATGGTAAGTCACTGCACTGTTCATAGTTCAGCTGAACCCAACATTTTCCTCTTATGATGTATTTTTCTCCTGTCTTCTTCTAGGGTGTAAAGTGGAACTGTTTGATCTGAAGGTGGAGGCTGTCAGTACTCACAGGAACAGACCCTTGGTAAGGTGACCTTTTTATGTTATGTCATAAACATGCAGTCGGTTTTCTCTCACCTATGTCAGTGCAACCATTGCACACATCGGTATTGTCTGTAAAATAATGAGTTCATCACATGTACCTGTAAACCACAGTCAGTAGTAATACCTGTCACCGTCATTAAAATGTCAGGGGAAAAAAAAAATCAATGATTTAGTTCATAGTGAAAGAGAACCGTGCTTCACAACAAACTAAGTGAAAATGTAAAATAAAAATACTGGTGTAAACAAAATGATCATAAATTAGCACTCAACACTGTATTGTCTGTGCTAATTAGTGCTGAAGGGTTCAGTCCCAGACAGTGGGTGTTGGCAGATTTACTGCAAAACCTCTAAATACCTTCATGAAGAGACCAATGTGACAGTGCTTTTTTTATTTTTTATTTTTATAATTATAGCTTTTTGTCCTCTCTTTGCCTTCTCACACTCACTCACATGGAATACAGTGATTTTAGACCAAGAAGAGAGTTGATCTTTGAAACCTACAGTAACAGAACATGTTAATCAGTCCACCTCTATTGTTTTTCACTGACCAGAATAAAGTCGGGACAGGTGTTGTGCCGCCAGCTTTCTTCCGACGGAACAGCTTCACGCCGCTGTCTAGCCAAGACCAGGTTAAACGACCTCGTCTTTACAGTGTGGGCAACCCTTCTCATCCCGGCGTGTCCCATACCCCCACTTTACCCAGCATGGAGTTCTCCGAGGCTTCTGAGGGGACAGAGTTGCAACAAAGTGAGGTCAGTGCTGTGACTGTAACGCACTACACGTCTAGAACATATACAGCAAAGTTTCAAAGATGTTGGAAATGGAGAAAAAAAATCTAACAGGATTAGGAAGAAATGTTTTAACAATTGTGACGGTAAATGTAATATTTTAATGCAACAAGTGAAAATTCAAATGCCAAATTAATTTAATGTGACATATTCATGCTAAATTAAGAAACCAACAAATGGCAGCAAGAGTTGACTTGCCTCATAAAAATACACCAACCACTGCATGTAATGTTAATCATCTGTAAACTAAGCTTTACTAAAGTGACGCTATATTAGTTTTTGTAAAAATAGCTAAAGGTCTTTAGCTGGCAAGCAGATGCTAACAAACTTTGCTAGATAAGAAGCTGAAAGGAGCCTAAAAGTAAATGCAAGAGTAAAATAAATTCTATCTACAGCTTTGTGATTATAGTAAAAGTATATTTCTTTACTTTAACCAGCTATATTTTTATTAATGTGTTCATGTATATGACACTACCCCAGAACTCAGAAAGAGAAACTATTGTTTCCATGTTACATGGATGTTTAAAACAAACATGGCACTTTCCAAACATTTGTTGGATTTTTTTCCCCACTGTGTTTGCCCGTGTTTGGTCCAAAATGTGACTTTTATTAAATTTACTCTAGTCTTAAAAAGGAGTGTTACTCTGGCTGGTGACCTCGAGATTTTAACTTTAGCTCATGTTCACTCTGCGCCAGTCAAAACAAACTCCTCCCTCCTCTTTTGGTGTGGTGTTTTTGTCAACACTGCCAACCTTCTCTGCCTTTCCTCTGCATCCACAGGATTCTTTGAACGGTTTCAGTGCAGCAGATGTAGACGACTGTGTTCAGGGTTAAAGACATACAAACAAAGGTATTTCAGCCCTTCGCTCTTATCTGTTACAGTATGTGGCACTTTTATACTTTCCACTCTTGGATCTCTCACACTTCAATTTTGCCATTTATCCCAGGCTTTTCTGCACATGGATATTTCACCAGTTCTGGGGACCAACTGTAAAATCCCAACATGCACCCTGTCTGCACAACTCTACATGTGCACATACTGTGTGTATACTGTACATACCTGACCTGCCCAAAGAATGTGCTGCCAATATTTTTCCAGCTACTTTTCATGTTCTGACAGTTTTTTAATATTGCAGTTTTGTGTTATTTTGGGATCATGATTTTTTTTGGGGGGGGGGGGCGGCCCTCTGCAGCTTCTGTTCTTGGTAGTATGGCTCTTTCTGTACCTCCAGACCACTGCCGCAACTGTGTTATGTGTTAGCCTATGTCCTCTAGGCTACTGATGCTTAACTCCCATCTTTATAAAGTCACACTCTGAATTATTGTTCAGGTAGTGTATTACAAGGAGTAATTAATGATTTTTAATTTTACATAATCAATGCCCAACCCTTTGACGTAAACCATCCAGTTATAAGATTTTACAGTTTGAATCATTTAACATGTTAGTGATTTTGTACATGTACTGTGGAACCTTGGATTGCGAGTAACCCGGTTGGCGAGTGTTTTGCAAGATGAGCAAAAAATTTTAATTCGATATATAAATGAGGTCTCATAATACGAGTAGTACATACGTTCTGTCTGCCGAGCGTCATGTGACACACGTCAAAACTGAGCCGATGGTTCTCGCGCTTCACTCGTATCGTCAATATCTGTACTGCAACAATGGCCCCTCACGCCAGCCACGATTCTTTTCAAAGGTAAAGTGCAGGTTAACTTGTTTTATTTTTACTTTATACTGTATTTTGTATTACTGTAATCATTTTTATATGGACAAGTGGATGTGGAACAAATCATCTGAGTTTTCATTATTTCTTATGGGGAAATTCGCTTTGATACACGAGTGCTTTGGATTGTGAGCACGTTGCCAGAACGAATTATACTCGTACTCCAAGGTTCCACTGTACTTAGTTTTGTTGTACTATATACTGTAAAGATTTTTAGTATGGAGTAGTGCTGAAAACCCATCCATTAGCTACTAGCACACCTCACACATGTAGTCTACAGTCACTATGCTGTATCAGATGACAGCATGTTTATTGTGGATTGTATACCTCAGTAGAAGATGATGTCTTCAGTTTTATTGTAAGAGTGCCACTCCTGAAGGACAACCTTCATGTGAACAGTCCCTCTGGTGATTTGACAAGGTCATTTTAGTTTTTTTTAAAGGTCATGTAAACACATTCGATTGCAATGTAGTTTCGGCAAACTGTAAAAGTAATGAAATGTTCCCTCTGGCCCCTTAAAAAGTCCACCAGCTACTACTTGTATATTTTTCTTTTATTCAAATAGCTTTAATATATTCAGCATCCTGCTGTGATAATTTAACCTCTAGAGTCCCTGCGTCCTCATATGAGGACCGCACAGCTTGGGTTTCCAAAGCTCAGGACTCTAGAGGTTAAAGCTGATCATGTTTGACTCTCCAAAACAGATGCAGGTATGTCAAAAAGAAAGTGACCACTTGTTGAATGACACTGGATATCTTGTTGAGTTTAAATGAAATTCAGTCTTTTTCAGGAGGAAAAGCAAATCAGTTGTAGACACAGTAGAGATACTGTTAACAGCCTTTTGACTTTTCTTCCTGATATTAAAACAAATTGATTAGAAAGGTTCCTTTATTTAAGACTACAAGACTGTCAGTCTTAAGAGTATTTTAAAGTATTTACATAATATGCAAGATGATGTTGCATCTGAATTCAAGGATTGGCAGCTCCTTTGGATATCTTTAAAAAATCTTTTGTTACTGTGCACTGTTGTGTAAATGTTTAATTATTAATAAAGTTCATTTTGTGCTACAGTATTTTTACACTGAATCCTCCCCCCCCCAACCTTAAGATTATTTTGACCTCAGAAAAGCCTTGAATGTGGGCAAGAAGTGTGTGGGTGTGTGTGAGAGAGAGCTCACAGGGAGTGTCCTTCCTGTCTGCTAAACTTCATGTTCCCAGAGAGTCAGACATGCCAACATCACCAGAACTCAAAAACACACAGTTCCTTGTGTAGAGTCAAGGATACAAATTATCTAACATCACAAACATGTAGTATTTCTTTTTTTTTTTTTTACAGGATGAGCCAAATTATATACCCTCACTAATTGTGCAATGATGAACCTTTCAGCCTTTTGTTGGTAGTAATTCAATTTTTCTTAATAGGTACAAAAGACACACAAAGATCTATGTTTATATATAAATTTGAGGTAAGTATTTTGCTATGTTGTTCACTGAATATTTAAAATTATATAAAGAAAAGTCATTTACACTTAACTGTTGAATTTGCCATCAGAGAAATGGAGGAGGAATGGCTCATCAGTTTTATTTTACAGAATTTAATCTGCCGGTTGCTTTGACGCCTGACATGACCCTTGAATGAGTGGACTCTGATTAAAAAAAACTCTGATAAATTTCCATGCTGATTACAGGATATACACTGTGTTAAACATTCTTAGTGTTGGTAGTGAGAAAAAGTCATACTGAACTTGACAGATTGTATGTACTGTGATTAGATGGCAGCTCTTTAACTGGATTATATTTGTCCCAGCAGGATTTGTGGCTGGCAGTTTTTAATATTCTCAGGTAGGGCTACTTCATTAACAGAGGAGTCAAAACATCACCACTGTATGCGTCAGAGGCACAGGCACTGTAAGATATGTTGTCACTTTTGAAATGAAATTGTCATTGGGCAGAAGTGCAGCATCACAACCACGCTGACTAAAAAAACCAAAGATCTGTCATGACCATAACCAATACAGGAAATCCAACTAATGTGCTGTGCAGATTAGAATAAGTACAGGAGTCACAACAGCAGCTGAAACTACAAGGCCAGGTCAGGAATCTAAAGTTTGTGTGTAATGCTATAATCAATGGAAAGTGTGATTAAATTTCTTACTGTAAATCCTTAATGGCCTGTTTGTAATCCGGTAGTATTTCATAAACTAGTCTAATGGCTATTAATAGTCAAAGTACATGGGGCTTAAGATATGATGAGAATTTTATTCCCTTAAAGATAAGCTCACACTTTCCAAAGTCGGTCTTAAATGGCAACAGTGAACATTAAACAGTGTTTTCTGGCTGTAATCTCAACCCCTTAAATCCCTGTTCGAGATTTTATCCTCACTATAAAAACATTTTTTGGTTATTTCAGGACATTTTAGCTGTATTTCAAAAGTCTTAATGCTTCATAAGAATTAGCAAGGTGGCTCTTATTTCTTATTTAAAACATACTGTAGTTGTAATAGATTGAAGACACTATTGCACAACATATTTCGATACGTTCCGTGTGTGTCGGTGCGTTTTGGGCCCGGCCTCTATCCTGCTGTACAGGTATGTGCCAAAAAATTAGAATATCAAGGAAAAGTCCATTTATTTCAATAATTTGTTTCAAAAAGTGAAACTTGTATGTTATATTAGTTCACTACACACAAAGTGAAATATTTCAAGCCTTT